GATAACTTAGCATCGGAAACCTCAGGGCCATCAGGTATGTATTTAGAGAAGAGATGCATACAGGTGTGATAATGTGAACTCCTGCAGCTTCCAATTCCTGACATGGTCGTGCAAATAACCCATTGGAGGAAGCAATGTGTTGAAAGGTGGGATCGAAGACTCCAACTTTTCGGTCACGCAGCATCGTTGTTCGCACTGACAACTCATTCATCAGCGTTAATTACTCAACTCGTCGATCTCAGATTGCCCATGCGACTATGAGTAGGCGCGCATCTGAGAATCCACTCGACTCGGCCCCATATTCTACGTGAACCTTTGGTTCATACAGTGAAGCCTTCCGTACAAGCTCTGGTCTTCTCTTATTCTGAGAAGCCTTCGATGTGTTTAGCTAGGGGTCTAAGTTATTACGAAACAGAAGTACCCCGAGTATCTCACTAAACCGATGTGGGGGTGTACGATGACGGTTTCAAGCCTACGGGATTTATCGATATTTCGAAGTCAGCTTCCCAAACAGTGCGTGACCTACCCAGTTGTCCCCGTGCATGGTCACTTCAAAATGACGCCCCAAGTTAATTATTTAAACGCTTCAGTAGCCTATAATCTCGAACTTTACTTTGTTAATATATTTAGTGTTTGAAATCAGGAGTCTTTCGCTTTTAGACTCCACTGAATGGCCCAGATTCCTGTGCAGGTGAGAGCGATCTTGAGGTAGTTGTTCGCGTAACGATTGTTGGAGATAAAGTGTGGTTAAAATCTGATCAGGCTGAGTTTTTTAGAGACAGTTAGACTGCAGGAAATCTTATATCTACGTATAATCTATTGCGAGAAGCAGCAGGCAAGTTTGACAACGTGACTGAAAACCAAGGTTCGTAAAAATGAGCAAACCAAGCATCGAATTCTGCACAAAATCCTTGAAAGACCTTCTTCAAAGAAAACTTTTTGATGCCGGAATCCGAGAAACCCCCGTGGAAATACGTGGTCTTGGGAAACAAGCACTTCAACATGGGTAATTTTAATTTGGATTAGTTTGGATTCAAAAGAACCATGAGCAATTTGAAGTTGCGTGAATCAACCAGTTGTGTAAGCAATTTGGTTTATTTTTTACATGGACTTTTCAAGACAACAGCAAACCACCTTGCGCTTAGTAATTTGTGATCGGGCGACTTACACAAGCTAGCTAAACGCGCATTTCCCACCTCATAGTTCATGCACGGCCACTACATCTTCCACAAATTGCCTCTCGTGAAGAATATTTTAATTTATGCTGCGTTTTGTAACTTTAAAGTGCACTTTTACTTTATACATAATTCATATATTCCGTGTTTTTTGGCTTGGTGGATGTATAAATCATCTATGTAACTATTTTCCAGCTATCATGGCCTTTTTGTGAATCGACCAAACGCAACCGATTAAAATCCACCCCATTTGCTCTAATGTAGGTTCTAGTCCCAGGGAAGAACTAGGTATTATCGTGACTCAACCATCCAATGAGGTTTCTGTATAACGAACCCCGTGAAATTCAATTTCCACCAATAGCCTGCCAAGCACGACCTCATGTTAACAAACTCGGCAAGAGGAAACTGTTGGCCCTTTAATCTATCACTTCACTTCAATGTTTAATTAAATTCATATCTTTAATGCGATGTTTTCTCAGTTCCGCTACATCTCGAAACTCCACGGAAGGCGAACTGCGACGTGTCCAGTGATTTGTGCGCACGTCAATCCTGCTTATGTTCCAAATCATTTTCGGTAATTACTTCCTGTCAGTTTTGAAGCAACACGTCAATTCCAATTTAGGTTGATGCACGTTTCAAGATTATTGGCCAGTTTGGTGTTTTGTTGTTCTTAATACCGATTCGCTCTCACCAGGCGGAAATTTTTAAATTCACTCACTCATCCGGTCATCCTAGTCTGATCGTATCGCTGTTTTGTTGTTCTTCATAACTTGTACTGCTCGTTGTACTTTCCAGTTTTAGCCACTCAAAATTATCCCTAAGTGGCTTGATATGAACCTTAGTAGTACCGCAGTCATTTCCCCGGACGCAAAGCAAAAACCACTTTCACAAAGTTCAGTTATTGAGCCGGGTCCCTGCTGACCCAGCTTCTCTTGTGAATGAATCGTCATGCACTTTTTTGTCTCGACTATCGCTCTCTTTTCACCAGAAAGTGCCGATCTTAATCTCGAAAAGACAGAATGCTTGCTACCAAACTCTCTTCAAGTTTTCAAGTTAGGCGTGGGCTTTGTCGTCGTCACGATCAATGAACAAAGAAACTGCGAATTGTTTTCTGGAAGATTTTATTAGAACTCGCCAAAACTGTTTGTACCAATCACCATGGCGCCATCCTGAAGTCGCTGCATTCACAGCACAAGTCAGCGAATGTGTGCTACGCATTAATGGGCTACAAAAGCGTGCGTTTCAAAAACGCGGCTCCGGTGAACGCTCATAGCCCCTCTTAGTGCAAAGACGTTGACAGGACTTCGTAACGAGATATGCATTATTTGCTATCTCGACCACCTAATCCCAATTAAGGTGGATAACTCAGTCAAAGATAATGCGCCAATAGATTGGGTCTGGCAACTTTAAATTTCGAAAATGGTATTTATTGTAGCACGAAAGTGAAATGATTCAACGACAAGAATAGCACTGAACCTTGAAGAAGTCTGATGCCCTCGTTAGTGGGATACAAGTCGATGACTTGAAAAAAGTTAACTTTTTTAGGTTCACAATTAATATTACTACTTTTTAAAAGACCATTTTAAGGAAGTGATGGTTGAAAGACATACGGTATTTACAAACATACACACACAAATAAAACACCTGCACACGGGCGTGTGCATACACTCATGCACAACATAGAATCACACCCACAAAAGTGTGTTGTAGAGTGGTAACGGGTTCCCGTGTTAGTTCGCGTGGACTAAGCTGCGAGGAGCAATGCGTGCAGCTGCACGGGGCAAATGTTTCGTGTTACACGAGGTCCCTCCACGTTTCCGCCTAGCGTGCATTGTTCCCCCCCGCCCCTAACTCCCCCCATTCATTTACGCCCACCTCACTCGCCCCTAGCCCAGCCCCCTGCGAGACGGCTTGAATGCGCATTTCAACCAATTTTCTTCATGAATGGGGCGTCGACTGCACGCTTCTGCGCGCCGTCGTCTTTTTTCTAACACATTAGTAACAGACGACGACCCATTTTTGCCAAAAAAAAGTTTAGCGCATTCGGGAAGTACGCATTCTGGCTAGCCTGCGCCGTCAAACCTACACAGCAGGCAGTGCTGGAGAATGCGGAGTTGGTAGTATCAGGTGAGGTTGGCTAAAAGCGCAAATTCAAAAACCGCAACCTTGGTGACCGGTAGAACTGTAAAGTCCATTAGTGAGTAGATGGCATTTCAGAAAATGAGGTATGATTACCATTGGACGCGAGAGTGATTGCAATGTTAGCGCCGATTTACACACGAGGCTATTTAAAACTGCTAGCACGCTACGTTACTGCACCCTTAATAACTCCTAGCTCGCTTTTGCGCATTGCTGTTGACCATTTTCCTATTTTTAAACAAAAACACACATTAGGTTCCTGTACTTGAACTATTTAAATTGCCAGCGTCACCTGATTACCATGGATACGATTAACTAAACATCAAGAGAGGAACGCTGTACGTCAATTAAATTTGCTGAGCTTGAGTGCTCATCGCCAAATTTGGGTGGAAATTGAGTACGATGTGATAAATTTGAAGACCAAATTTACGATACGCACACTGGTCCGATGCAATCCCGAATTAGAAACCTCAATTTTTTCAAACATATTACCTTCTAAAGAGGTCAGTTGATTTGGCCTAATCCCTAGAAAATCAAGATTATATTCTATTTCTTCGACGGCAGGGTTTGATGAACAAAATAACCTGGTGGCATATTAAATCCCTAATAGATTGAGGGACTGATCTTAAAATGCCGAATAGTTGGCATCGTCATGGCACCAGCTTCACATACGAAACAACCAAAACCCCTGTAACGCTTTCATGCACACACCGTCTAAGCAATATTATCCCATTTCCAAGAGGAACGTCTCCTCTGAACGCGTCGACTTGGTCTGGATGCGTTTTCCTGAATGTTGAATTTTCGATAAATGTCTTTTTTTTAATGCCTGAAACTTAGAGACCTCGTGGTTTGCATGATTCATCTGATACTAAGGCTTATAAGTGTCCACGACTAACTTTTGTTAAGATATCATCATAATTGTCACGGAATTTGAAGCCAACCCAGAACAGACCACTCCAAAATGTCTAACTGAGCTCATTAAATCATGATTGAAGCAGCCAAAATGGTGCACAAAGGTGTTACAACAATTCCCAATTAGCTCTTAGGTGGGAAAGAAAGGCCCATATTTTGCTAAATTATTCCTGCAGGAGAAAACGCGATCCATTTGACATTGCCAACTTAGCAAGAGGAGAATATTCACCTGAAATTCTTCACTTTTCTTAATAACTATGCCTGAAATTCCCCAATGAAGCCTCGAACATCATCGAAATCACTCTCAAAACAGTCTCATTTTCATTCACGACTACGCAATGCCTTAAAGTGCCAGAATTAGAAGTAGGTGTTCCTTTACGATGTTCCCTAAAAGTTGAATTTATCGAATCGCGTTTTTGGAATGATTTTTTATTATAACGGGTTCCGGCATGAAGCTGAGCACGTAGAAAGTTGGGTACCACGTCTGCATACCTAAAAGACAAGTAACAATTTTAACGAGACGCGCGAATGCAAGCGCAGAGGACTGAGTCTTTTCCAGCTTTTTGATTGGCCATGGGATGAGCCAATGAGCGTTGTCTCCGAGGCAATTGGACGCTGCGTTGGCTTGACACGGGCAAGTGGGCACATTTATAAATCGGTCAAGCGTTCTCTTCTTTCGTTCCTCTTCCTCCACTTTCTCCAGCCCCCACACACAGCATTATTTAAGCTTCAGCAATTATGCTAGCTGAATAATCGGTGTCCATACACCTGAATATGCATCTCTCAACAATTACTGTCGTAATTCTACTACTCTGCACGGTTGAACTGACGCGTTCGCAGGTCTCTCACATCTACCAATCTGACACGTATGGACCTGTTGGACAGCGACGGTGTTACCGACCCACGAGGATCGAAATTCCAGAGTGCAAAAACCGATTCTACAACTTTACTGCTTTCCCCAACTTGGTGGGACAAGAGACGCAAATGGACGCTCGCCATCAACTCCAGACGTTCAAACCGCTCATCACCTATAAGTGCTCAAATCACTTGGCGTTCTTCCTTTGCTCCGTCTACGCGCCAATGTGTGACGTGAACACCAATCACCTTATAGGGCCCTGCAAGCCGTTGTGTGAGCGAGTTCGTAAAAGGTGCTCCCCCGTTCTCAAGATTTTCAACTTCGACTGGCCCGCCAACCTAAACTGCTCACGCTTTCCCGAAAAGAATACGGTTGGTGGCACGATGTGCATGGAAGGCCCGGATGTTCCTGAAGATTTTAACGAGTCCTCCGGCAAGACCAGCGGGGTGGATTCCATCTCGAACGAGGAGATTGTTCAGTCGCCGGTCAGGGCCGAATCTCAACCCAACGAGGGCGCACAGCGGACAGACCAATCAGTGGACGGGTTGCTTCGTCATTTGGAAGACCTTCCAGAAGGCATAGGTGATAAAGGCAACGGCATCGCAAAGTTGGGTCCTCACATTCAAGCGTGGCTTGCGAGGCTTCATCAAGACCCCCTGCCTGTCAATCTTGGGACTGAGGAGACACCCATAGCTTTACTCGTCTCATCCATCCGCTACTGTTCCCACCTCATCAAACCAACGTCTTACGTGTTCATCAATCGCACTGGCAGGTGCGCGCCGCACTGCATGGCAGACATCCTCTTTTCACCCAATGCTAAAACCCTTGCAACTGTCTGGACCAGTGTTATCTCTGGTCTCTGCCTTCTTGCGACAACTTGCACACTCTTGAGCTACGCAATCCAGCCGTCGCTGTTCCACACTTTGGAACGACCAGTCATCTACATAGCCGGTTGCCAACTCGCCTACGCTCTGGGATTTGCGCTGCGACTTAAGTTAGGCAGGAAAGCCGTCACTTGTGGAAAGGACCCTGCCTCTGGCTTTGCAATACGCCTTCAGGAAGGACTGGACAACTCCAACTGCGCCCTGGTATTCTTAATTCAGTACTACTTTTTCACAGCTGGAGCCCTGTGGTGGGCCATGATGGTGATTGGCTGGGCTTTAAGGTCGGCCCTTCGTCTCAGATTGGCTCGCTCAACTGCCACGGGGACAGCTGGCGGAGATGTGTTCTCAGTGGTTAGGGATGGCAGACGCCACTGCGGAAGCGACACGATCACTGGCAACATGGACGCGCTCACCGAAAAACACAGGGTCGGAGGCTCCTCAATCCGATTCTCACAATTCAATCGGAGGCTGGTTCCTACGAACAGCGTTGGCTCAAACGCTGACGCAAATTGTCTAGCCAAAGAACACGTCGTCGCGTGGCTCACGCCTGGTCTTCTGACGGTTGGGGTGCTCGTAAGCAGGCAGGTGAGTTCTCGTACTTGAGTTATCCTTTTGCGAAACCACGGAGATGCCACGCTGACAACAAGCTGAGTAATCTGTGGGCTCTCGTTCTCAGCATTCTTTTCTCGTTTCACACAGTTAACTTTGGTGAATTACTCATTTAATTCGGAAAAAAACCTTCTCGTGGCTGATGAAGGCTGTGTCAATCATTTCCTTTCGAATCTTTCGTCATTCACTGCGTCTACCGCATAGACGCCCTGTCATTCCTCTACGAATGTGTTCGAACGTGTGTCAAAGTAGCGCCGTCCTTGTTCGGTAATGTAGCAGGCGTCCTGCAGCTTGGCATGGATGCGCTCAGACCAACTTTTCAGGAACTCATTAACTGGGCTTCGTATCCGGACACACGACTCTTTAGTTTGTCAACAGACTTCCTTTTCAACCACTGTGATTAAGTCCGGTGGCTGTGAGTCAAGCTGAAGGGTATTCCATGCGTCGAAGCACGCAGTGTTTTGGGAATCCTGCATCAGCTATACGATGTGTTTACGTCCTCCTTTAGGCTAATCAAATTGTCCTATTTTCTGGATGGTAGTCCGCCATCAGTGACTCTATTGGAACACTTCTTAACCACGGAGTTGCTTTCTGTTCGAAAGAGCGTACTTGGAATTCCAAGGTTAGGCTTAGACAGCATTCCTTGAATTAGCCATGTCGATCCCGTGCAATGCCTCCAGAGTGCTGGCATACTCTATCCTAGATTCTTTTTTTGCATTTGGCGTCCGTGATTCGGCCCGACAAATACCCCAACTGCGTTACGCCTCTACTCGTTGTTTTTTCCCTTTTTCTCTTGCCAGAAAATTTGGGCTAAACAATTGCTTTAATCTGCTTTTGACTCTTTGACCTGTGTTTTTAAAACCCCAACGCCACTATGCCTCCTGTCGTGTAGAGACTATTTCGGGAACATTCTGATCACTGTCCATGTCAGCTGGTGTTTTTCTCAAACCACAATCTTCTACAACTCGGTCTTCTTATTGTAAATCGCTTGGCGTTTCGCTGAAGCGCACCTGGGAGACCAATCTTTCCTAATTAGTGTCTCCAATCTCCGCGACTGGCCTAATTGGGGATTTACTGCGTCCCTTCGACCTTGCGTTATATCGATCGGCGGGCTTGGGTGAGACGGCAGGGTTAATTACACACTTCCAGTGTTGACATGATTGTTTTGTCCGCTGCGTAACCTAACGAACACAGGCTAGCCTGGATTCGCCAGCAGCCCACGCCGCCGCTTGGGTGACAGGGGGTGTGCTGTCTTGTTTGACGAGTTTACGCGTGTCCCGCTCTGACTCATCCCTGGTATGACAGTTAATTTTGGTAAAAAATCATTACAAAGACTGACCACCACACTTGATCCACCTTCATCCAAACTCATTACTACCATTAATCACAATTGGATCACTTCTTAGCTGATTAAGAACCACGAATTTACCAAGGAGCGGTCATTTTTTGGTCAAAACATCAATTTCCCTACCACAAAGTCAAATTTTCGTCTTGCCAACTAGTTATATCTGATAAAACGGTGAATACACAAGTAGATTTTCCTCCTTATGGTCATTGACGAGATGGATCGAAGGTAGAAGCACCCCACCAACCAAACGCGTCCAGCGGTTTCGACTGGATTAGTTTGAACAAAATACCTAGCATATAGGTTATAGATCTCATCACGCAGTCGGACGTGGTCGGTAGTGTGTTGGCGCACCTGGAGACGGTTGTTCCTAATTCTGGCAGATGCTCAGACGGCCAGTGTGATGGACGTTTTGACCAGGTTCTGCTCCGGTTTCGACCTGCTACCGCAGGCGGAAGTTGAGGGGGGGAAGGAGGTGTGCTGGTGGTCCTCCAGCGCTTTGGATTCACACCATTGTGTGTGGGTATGTGCACACGTTAGTGTTTGCATACCCTGTGCACACTCACGCACGCCCATGCATGACTGCTCGCCTTGTGCGGTGTGTGTGTGTGTGTGTGTGACCGTGTGAACGCACACACGCTGCACACAGCAGCGAGGTTTAGGAAGTGATTGACATCAGGTTTATTCAAGTGACGCTTAATTACGACCTGCTGGTGGCCGGAGACGCCAGCATTTGGCACTTTCTACCATCACAACCACGTCAAATACGATGTTGGCTCGAGCTGACAATAGGACGGTTTTACTGGATGCGTTATCTTGACGACGGATTATTTAATAGATTTTGTAACCATAGGAACGTCAGTAGTAGCAATAACGTTTTGGGCCAAGTAGCTGTCTTCTTCCTATGGAACCACACCACTGTTTGTTAGCCACAAATGTCAATTTTTAGCTTCAATTTACATATACAAATGAGATGACTTCCAGCCTCTTTCCAGTCAGTGACTATTCAAGTGTTTGCCGCTGTTTCTTCCAACTTGATTTGCTATTTCAACAAGTCGGGAGAGTGTATTTCGGAAAATAGCTATTGAAGAAGCGTCTTCCTCAAGTTGCGCAGGCTTAGTTAGGTATTTTGATCCGTCAGAAACCGGATTTCGAGTCAACGGGATCTCGTCGTAGATCTACTGTCATCCTTATTTGAAGTCATAAAATCGTCTGGACGGTAGTTCTGCTATTTGAATATCAAGACCGTCGCAAACACACAATCCGAAGTGGTTTACTTCCACCCCTCTTCGAAGATGTCCACCCGTGGTCCTCCGAAAATGCCGTGCGATTTCTCTCGCACGAAGCATTACTGCAGCCATTAACGGCATCTTTCCAGGGTGTTGCCACCAAGCATGTTTTCGCCCTTGAAACACATTTTGTCTTTGCGTAAGTCTTTTTACATCGTCCGCGTTACAACAAGTCCCATTTCTCGTGTGGAGCTTATTTCCATAAATTTAATCGAGATATCGTTGATAACCCACTGGTTAGATTGTGGACGACCCAGTGTTCATGAATCGCGGGCGACTCCATGCAGTCACCAAGAACCTTATACCCCAAAAATATCGGACTTAGAAATGTGACCCATCTCCTTTACCATCAAAAATTGGCTTAATATGATGCAGTCTGGTGTGGCCTACTTTATGTCTTCGTATTTATTGAGTCGGACAAATTACTGTTTATTCTTAGAACTGACCTGAACCCGTTTTAATTGACCTCGCCACGTTGCAACGTCTGGTTAGCCCAGACCCCACGGAGGTCGAAATTTTTCCTTGAAGTCTGTGCCATGGCGTTTTGGTGCGAAGTGTGACACACTCACGATTGTGCCCAGGGGATGCAGTGCGCTTCCTCTCTACTGGATTAGGCACTGCCTGAATTGGTGTGAGTGGTCAAAAAAACACCGACCACGGTTGCTGCGCGGAGGCTTTTTGCTCCGAGCGGCAGTATCTGCGACGGGAGTTTTTGTCTTTTTGTAAGACAAAAACTGATTCCATCCTGCGCGCGCCATCATTGAACGCTCTACAGCCAACCAATCAGCTGCCTCCTTAATCGATAGGCTAGCGCAAAAACCCGGGGTATTTCTGCTTACTACAGTGCAAGGCAGCGGCGGTAGTTTTTTGGGGGCTTGTTCGTGTTTCGGGTCGTAGATGCCGTTTTCTTTTCTAAATAAACAACAGAATTTTCTCTATTGGATCAAGCGAAAAGCCAGTCAGTTGTAAGCTTAACTGTGCTAAAGCGTGTTTTCGCCTCCATCCCAAAGGTCGACGCTGACGAGTTGCTGGGAATCTGCAGTGTTGGCAGACAGAATACCAAAGCGATGCTGATCTTCGTTCTGATTCCGCAGATGGTTTTTCTGGCGGTTGGCGTTTGCGCATTCGTCTACTGCATCGTTTGTCTAGTGAAACTGAGGCGAGCCTGGAAGCAACGTCGAATGGCTCCAAGCACTACTCTGACCAATTTGGATGGGCAGTCGCGCTACCTTGTCTACCAGTCCGACCAACAGTCCGACTTTGACACAACCTTCGACACCAGCGACTTGGGCAACTCGTCGGCTAACTGTTGCTATCGATGCTGCTGTAGATCTCTCGGTTGGGACAGCCTGAGCACCCGTCTGGCTTTTTTCAGTCTACTCTACGTGGTACCGGCGATCTCGGTGTTAGCGTGTGACTTCTACGAATACCTTTACCGTGACACATGGCTTGCGGGGGACCCGATGAGCGCCCTCTCACGCATTATTAAGACGACTCAGTCGGCGGGGAGAACTGCCAACGAGGAGATCACTCCTGAGGTTTTCCTACTACGAACTTTCATGTCCCTCGTGACTGGCTTCGCTACCTGCCTATGGCTTCTGTCGGTGAAGGGAATCGAGCCCTGGCGGCGTCTTGGACGACAGATTGAAAACCGCTGCGCGGGTCACTGGTGCTTCTCCACGCCAATCAAGACGCAGCAACAGCAGCATCAACAGATGGCTCAACTCATGAGCGCAACTGTAGCCTCAGGAAATGTGGCCTCAGGACGTCAGAGCCTGCCGGCATCCTCGCAGTACAGTAAGAACAGCCACAGCAACACATCCACCGTGCTGCATCCATACGCCGTCTACCAACAGCACTGCTGTCCCTCCAGCAAGCCGGCTGGCGATGTGCCAGATAGGTGTAACTACTCCGCGAGGCCTCCCGCTGGCCCTGGTCTCGACGCTGGGGAACAGTCTAGTGGTCTGGCTCTCTCCTCACCGACGCAAGCATCGGGTTATTACAGCTCAGCGACGACGAACAACAGCCTAACGTCTGGGTCCTGTCTGCCACCTCGTCCTCCTCCCAATACTCCTCCTGGCACGGTACACGGTGAGTCGAACCCTGGATCGTCAACTGCTGGAAGTTGGTGGAAAACAACTCAGCAGACGTCAAGTTCCGGTGCGCGAGGTCAAAAATACCAACAACCGCACCAACCGTCTGGCTCAGGTCAGCACGCTATATTGTAACTAGAAAACAACGCACGGAGCCGCAATTATGTACACAGATATCTAGCACATTGTGGTTGAACAGGGTATGTGTGGTTAGGCCTTGCCCGCACCGGCACACATTCTACCCGCTATTGGATGCATCTCGGTCTGGCTGACACTTCTGCCAGTGACACAAAAATCCCACGCAAATGCACTCACACGTCTTTCTCTCATTCACCCATTGATTTTCTTACGCGTTCTTACTGTTTGCGAATGCTACCTTGTTCGTCAATCAAATCAACAAGGCGCCCATTTTCTTTGTTTTCGTGTGATAGGGGTTTGACAGAGCTTAAGGGGCGAGGCGTCTAGAATAACGTGATTTCGAGACATGCAGATTGTATTGTCCAAAAGGGGCCGTTAATGCTTGAGCCTGGGATCGATTCGTGATAATCTTTCCCCTTTAGTTGCGTCAATAGCTCAGATTACGGATGGATGAAAGATGTGTCAACCAGCACTGAGTTTGGCTGGTTGAAGTCGATTCGGGCGTTACTGAGAAGAACTCCCGTCGTATCGGGATCCAAACATTGGTTGACTAGACGGACTCGTGTTAGTAGCTTCAAGATCGCAACCCTAGTAGCTGCCCGAAAAATTCGTTCCAACTGTCTAAGTAACCTCAGTCCCATACCAAAAAAATTGGATTTTGCTAATTAAGTGCTCCGGTGAATCTGTCGCAACTCAGCGGACAGTCATCTGTAGGTGTTAGATGAGCAATTACAATGCCTGTTTTGACAATCATTTTAGAGTTTTATTTGGCTTGGTTTGTGGTAAACGAGATGGAGTCGGAAGTTAGGTAAGGAGGGTATGAGTAAACGTTTTTTGAAATAGCTGGTGTTACGTGAGTCAACTGAGAGCAGAGGATAATTAGAGTGTCGGGCGAAATGGGTTTAGGGTACGCATGTGGATGAGCTACTAAAAAGTGGAGCATTCTTGCAAAGTCAGTCAAATTTTGGAAAAGACGTCCTACAGAGGAGGAGAGGGCTTGTTGAAGGCTTTCGCTTAATCATTCTTCGATGGGAATCTGAACTGGTTTGCTCATGTCGTCGACACCCACGTCTGGAAAGAGGGGGATGCAGCCAATTCTTTACAAACCTACGGCTCATTGATAAAGTTGAAGTTCAAGCACAAAGAAGGGATTGTGAAAAGGCAGGACAACTAGACGAAAATGCAAACGTTTATTCACCCTCTAGGCATGGATCACTCATTGTTACTTAGCTGCAGTCAATGTACAACGGCAGTCGAATACTTTGGCTATATACTCGTGGTCAAAGCAGAAACCTTCGTACCACGGAAAATGGGGAAGGAAAAAGTCCTTTACAGAGGTACCTCGTTCGACAACTAGTTGGCACCTGCTGTCAATAAAATATAGTGATAAAATTCAAGCAGTAGTGGAAAAGTCGCATGGTGGATATACTCGCACGCACTACGGCATACTAAATCAAACCGCGGTCTGGGAATAATCAAGAGGAAATGAAGTGCACTTCAGATGCAGAATCCGAGGGAGAGGATTTAAAAGCTTAGACAATGCTTTCCTGCCCAATCAAAAGAGTCACGAAACTGTGAAGCAAACTCCAACCGGTTAAACTGTTACTTTCTTGACGGGCAGGTAGGGGGCCAAGCACTCTGGCGACGACCTGTAACTAAACCCCTGCCTCACGAGGAATGCGTGTTCCTTGGCTCGTTGGCTCACGATAACCGCCAGTGATTTTGCATGACCGGTCTCAGTGATCGAGCATTTTTCTAATTCCATGCTTAGCTTCATCATGCAGGAATGACGTTAGCCATTTGTCTGCATATACAAGTGCTACAGCAACCGAATGAATCTCGGCAAACAAAGTTGCCCCCCTTCCAGGGGTCATAGTTCAAGGCCACCAAATCCATATTCTGAGTTAGGTGTTCCGATAGGCGAATTTGCCTTCGTCGAGTTGAAGCATGTGTTCACGACGACAAGACTCACCCCCCAGGCCATCCGACGAATGTTTCATGTCAACAACATCTGCGTCCATCACTGATAATTTTGGTTTGGTTTGCTGTACGCTCTGAAAATGCCGTCAACTTTACCAAACAGATGTTTATGCTGTTGATTCAGAATAGGCTGTGGATGACACACTACAGCCACATTGTTAACTGAACAATTTCGGCGTTCAGTGTCGTCAAGTCTTCTAGCTAGATAACGCGAAAATCATTCTCGGTTACATTCTACTGTAGAACTGAAGATTAACTTGTCTTACGAGATAAAACCAGGCATTATTTACCTTCGCTGATCACTCTGTAGAAAGCCAAGATCATGAGGAAGAGCAGTCGACGAATAGGCAGATCACAGAGATCAGGTTGTCAACACATATCTCATGAGAATATAGATTTTACTGGACTGCCCATGAGATCTGTTATTCGTCGTGTTTGCACGCGAATTGTTGTGGGTCGTGGACGGAATCAGGCATGAATAATTGCCGTGTCAAGTCGCGCTGTTTGTGGTGAATCGGCCGCGCTCTCAAATATGTAATAACCCTACTTTTTTGAATATTTTGTCTATTCTGTCAAAACAAAGCGGTAATATTACCTGATGAGACAGAGGGAAATTTGAGAATGTCCAGTTGTCCAACAGATCGTTTCGAAGTCATTAAGCAATAATGAAATGTAGGTCGTGCGCACGTGGAGGACATAAAAACGAGTGCTGCCACCCTCGGGTTAAATTTACTAAACTCCTGGCGAACTTGCAAAAGTGCAAATTAGACTCCACAAATACCCAGTAGGAAAGGTTGTGTCAAACTGAATGGCACCAAGGTGTTTAAATGAAGTTATTTCTAGTTTCTGCATGAGCCTGTTCATTGGTCCTTGACGATCACGTCTAGACGGCGCAATTGAATCTTGCAAAGATGGCATACCATTTGTTTCTGCCAACCACGTCGCCTCCACTGAACTCTTCCGCGACTTCAGCGCGATAATTCATAGCAAAAAAAACAATGATATTGAAGCTCCAGACCTTAAAGGACAACTTCAAAAGCGTTTTCGCAGAGCTACTGTGTTTAAAGAACAATAACTAAGAGAGCTCGGGCCACACCGATGAATTTGAAACCAAAACTACTGCTAAATGAAATAAACGATTTGATTTTCTCGATGGTTATGGGCGGATGCTGGGTGGAGTTGATTGACAGTGAGGAGAGAGAGAGAGGAAAGAAGGGCTCTGATTGCCCTCTCTCTACGCTACTGATTCCTCCCTGTTTTAAACAGAATTTTCGCATGCAAAACACACTCCCGCGTGCTTCGTCTTTCCAGTTAATCCCCATTGGATGGAAAGGCGGAATTTAAAAAAACGTCTACATACTTCTAGTTTCTACAGGTAGAAAAAAGATGGCATTTCGGAAGTTAAAAGGAATTCGCGAAGGAAAAATGTCAAGCATAAACTTAGTTGAGTGTTTTGCATCACCTAGACGTGCGCATACATTTTTCTTGTTGTTGTTATTGTGAGATAGAAAACATCGTCACGAATGGACAAACGAGGCTTTAATTATGATGCACTTAACATTGAATCGGTGCTACTATAACGTAGCAACAGGCTTTAGTTTCGCATCATTATGTTGTTGCGAGTTTTAACAAAGCAGGGCATTGTGAAGAGGTGGTGTCACAAGATCTCTTCCAACATGGCTACTGCCTGGTTCTGCGAATTTCCTGTTGCAAGTACCAAGGACGTCCGCGGACAGAATATGGTGACATAGTTGTCGGTCTGTCGCCATTAGATGAATAAAACGCCCTATACCAGGTAAACGTTTCCAGATTGTTCGATCATTTCTTCATTTGCCGCGTGGTTTGAACGGTGGAGTCCTCACTC